ACCTAGTCGTGAAACGGTTGTCGGTAAGCCATACCTGTGTGACATACCTCTTCCAACATTGCAAGATGGAAGAGTGAGAGTACTCATTGGATGTAGTGTGCCAGAAGCTCACAAGGTATTAGAAGAGAGATTCGGAGGTAGAGATGATCTGTTCGCGACGAAAACACCACTGGGATGGACAGTTAGAGGACCTATACCCATAGTCCACATATCATCATTAGTTGCAAACGATGGGGACAAACTAGAAACTATGAATAAAAATATGTATGACAAGGAGTTTTGTGACTGTGGTGTCCCAGGGAAAAGTCGTTCTGTAGAAGACTTAAAGGCAGTTAAAATAGCCGAGGAGTCTTGTAAATACGAAAACGGGCGTTTCAGCGTTGGCCTACCATGGAGATTCAAAGATAGACAGTTGGTTTGTAATAGGAAAGTTGCTCTTAAGAGACTAATGGGTTTACAGAAGAAATTTCTGTCAGATGCAGAACTCTGGTCCAAATATAAGGATGTCGTCGATAAACATATAATGAAGGGTTACGTTGAAAGACTAGTTGATCAGAGTGAGCCAGGGAAGTGGTATTTGCCCCATCATCCCGTCTTTAACCCGAGGAAGCCAGGTAAACTCCGTGTGGTGTTTGATTGTTCTGCGAAACATGAAGGAGTCTCTTTAAATGATAATCTGTATAGTGGCCCAGATTGCGTGAGCTCATTAGTGGGACTGCTATTGAGATTCAGAAAGTTTACAGTTGCTGTCGCGGCGGATATTGAGGAAATGTTCCTACAGGTGAAGGTGCCAGAGAGTGACAGAGATCACTTGAGGTTTTTGTGGTTTGATGACGGTCCTTGTGGTAAGGTGTCAGAATATAGGATGACAGTGCATCCATTTGGTGCCACGTCCCCCCCGTTTTGTGCTAATTTTGCTCTACGAAAGGCAGTGTCCACATTTGGTTCTAATGATTTGCTGGACGTCATAGATTGTTGCTTCTACGTGGATGATTGTTTAGCCTCCTTCGATGATGATAAGTCTGCAGTTAGATTTGCAACAAGCATCACTGAAGTGTTAGCTAAGGCCGGCTTTCGTCTAACTAAGTGGGTCTCGAACAGCCTAGACGTTTTGAAGCATATAGATCCAGAAGACAGAGCACCTACCGTACGAGATTTGCCTGTTGATACTCTACCAGTTGAACGCACATTAGGTATGCGATGGGATGTGAACTCTGATACCTTTGGATTTAGTGTTGGTGATATTGATAAGCCAGTTACTCGGAGAGGCGTGCTCTCTGTGTTGTCGTCCGTGTTTGACCCACTTGGATTAGTAGCACCTTATCTACTTCCGGCTAGGAGGTTATTTCAAGAGACATGCAGGAAAGGGTTACAGTGGGATGAACCATTAAGTGAGAGGCAGAGAGAAGAGTGGAAGGGGTGGGTTAACAGTTTAAGAATGCTGAATCTACATTCCGTCTCACGTCCACTTAAGCCGTCGAGAAATCATGATTTAATTGACTTCCATGTTTTTTCTGATGCCTCTGAGGTTGGATTTGGTGCAGCCGTATACATCAGAACCACCTTAAGGAATGATATAGATGTTAGCCTGGTGATGGGTAAATCTAGAGTTGCACCTCTAAAGACGGTTTCGATTCCGAGATTAGAACTTAATGCAGCCTTACTAGCTGCGCAGTTATTCACAACGGTGTGTAAAGAGTTGGATTACCCCAAGCATCCCGTAACGTTTTGGACTGATTCGATGTCTGTGATATATTATATACGCAACGAGTCAGCAAGATATGCATGTTTTGTAGCTAACAGAGTATCTCAAATTCGTGAACTAACAACTGTTGAGCAGTGGAGGTACGTACCGTCTGGAAAAAATCCAGCTGATCTAGCCTCGCGAGGAGTTATTGATATGAATGTGGTTGAAAATAAGTGGTGGAAAGGTCCAGAGTTCTTGCTAAGGGCTGATAGTATGTGGCCTCGTAGAGAAGATGAACCACCGATAAACGAGTGTGCCTTGGAGTTGAAGACAAGTGTCAGTTTAACATCTACTCAAGAAAGACATTCAGGTTTACATCCACTTTTTAAATATTATCCTTCTTGGTACAAACTACTGAAAGCTGTTGCGTGGTTGACACGATATGTTACGTATTTAAAGGTCATGCATCTTGCGGGATACGAAAATATGAATGTGGGGCCTTTGAGAGTCGAAGATATTAGAAATGCAGAGTTAGTGATTTTGAGGGCTGCTCAGTGGGAAGCGTGGGGTGAGATTGCCAAGGAGGATAGCCCTGATTTCGCAGATTTCAAGGTGCGGTTAGATAGATTATCTCCGATAGTTTCCGAAGGGATCGCTAGAGTTGGTGGACGTCTACAAATGTTAGAATCGTCATATGAGACCCGTCATCCGGCTTTATTACCTTGCTACCATCCAGTCACTGATCTCATTATAAGACACTACCATGTTCTTGAAGGTCATTTGGGTACTTCGCAAGTACTATCAAGTATTCGATGTAAGTTCTGGATAGTGAAGGGAGGTACTGCTGTCCGTAAAATAATTGATAAGTGCATGGAATGTAAACTCCGAAATGCTCGTCCAGTACAGCAGATGATGGCACCACTCCCAGCGTGGCAAGCTTCTGAAGGGAATTATCCATTTGAGTACGTTGGAGTGGATTTGTTCGGACCTTTATTAGTGAAGAGAGGCAGAACCCTATGTAAAAGATATGGCTGTTTATTCACCTGTTTGAAAATGAGAGCTGTGCATATTGAGATGGTTCATTCGCTAACTACTGATTCATTCGTGCTAGCATTACATAGATTTATAAATCGCCGAGGTGCACCGAAGATGATGTTCAGTGACAGAGGGACTAATTTTGTTGGCTGTCACGCCGAGCTTAAAGAATACTTCGAAGGCCCTCAAACGAGAGTTCATGAAGAGTTACTGTAAAGGAACATCGAGTGGCACTTCAGCCCACCACATGCCAGCCATGGAGGTGGACTATGGGAAAGATTAATAGGAATTATCAAGCGTATTTTAAGCTCCTTAATTAAAAACCAGAGTTTGAATGACGAAACGCTGGAGACATTTTTTCTGAAGCTGAACGAATATTAAATGACCGGCCACTGTTATTTGTGAGGGACGACGTCAAGGATTTTGATGTGTTAACACCAAATAAATTATTGTTATTGAGAGGTAACCCTGGCATAGAGGACTCAAGCGGGGAAGGAATACCTACGATTAAAAGATGGAAAAAATCCAGGCACATGAAAGATATATTTTGGAAGAGATGGTTAAAGGAGCATGTTCTAACACTGCAAACCAGAGACAAGCGGAAAAAGTTGTGTAGAAACTTAAAGGCTGCTGATATAGTCTTAGTAGCAGATAAATGTGCCACGGGTAGATGGCCCTTAGGAGTGGTAGAAAGGTTACTCGGTAGTGGTGAGGGGTTGGTGAGGACGGTTGAGGTGAGAACAAGTTTTGGTATGTTGGTGCGAGATATTAGGAAACTGTATCTACTGGAATGTGCTGAGAGTCGAGAGTAAGAGGATGAAACACTTGAAGATTTTCCAAACTAAGGCGCCAACCTGAGAAGGACTGTAGGCGTACTGCTGTAGGTCTTACAATTCTTCAAAGAGTAGCGCATCAATGAGCAATCAAATGTGCTCGGTGTGTGATTTTGTACATATGTTGATATTGTATATACAGGATTGGTATCATCATCTAGCTGTTGGTAATTCTCTTTGTGTCCGGACGTCTTCCACTTGTATCATCAACCTGAGAAGGAATGTAGGCGTACTGCTGTAAGTCCTACAGTTCTTCAAGGGTAGTTTGTCGTGTCAGAATCCACAACATTTGATGCGTTGATTGTACATATGTTTGTGTTAAATAATTGTGTGAGTTCCAATTAATGTAACTGTTGGTTAATCTTGTTTGTGTCCGGACATTCTTCAACTCACAATCGTCAACCTGGGAAGGGTTGCAGGCGTACTGGTGTAAGTCCTGCGATTCTTCAAAGGAATTCCATCAAGATATGATCCGCGAGTTTGTGTGTACTGTTTGTATATATGTGTGGTGTGTCATATCATTTGGTGTCTTTTGGATTCATTGTGTTTACTCGTTGTTTTCGTACCTTGTTGTTATTGCGTAATTTTGTTAAATTTTCGTCGTGCTTACTTCTGAAGTTGTTTCTAGTCTTCCACATCCGTGAATGAATTGATTGATGTTAAGGACAGCAGATGGGTCGTATACGCCGGGGAGCCTAGTGCTGAGAATGACATGCACACGGAGATGATTGTTAGCTGTGGTCCCGCACGCCGGGGAGTGAGAGTGTAGACGACTGAGGCTTGCATATGTCACCGTTACTAGAACTGAGGCAGAATGAGTGACAAGCGATTGCAGTGGTAATTGGTAGTGAATAGATAAGAGGATGTGAGAAGAGTATCATGGGGTGCTGCTATGGTCACGTTGCGTTCTGCAAGAGTCATTCTAGCAAGTGGCGATTGTGTTGCAAGATGTCAAGAGGATGCCTTTAACTGGAAGGCTTAGGTCGTCATCGATGAGTGAGATTGTGCTGTGGGTATGCTTGTGGTGTGTTGGCTTTTCTGTTTGTTTTCCATTTCAGCTCTGTCCGCGTGACCTAGGTTCTCGCACTGGCATCCAAGTCAACGTGTATTGGTCGTGATGGAAAAAAGGGAATGGATCGTTTTCTTCCCGGGGAGTGTCAATGGAGTTGAAGATTGAACGATCAATTCATGGTTGTCTGCTCAAACCCAACTCCTCCATAATTTTCGGCTGAAATTATCCGTCACTTATCAAGGTCATTGGTGGAGTGAGACGCTGGAAGGTCATTTTCGTCCATATCAGTCCGCCATGTTGGATTGCAGTTCCGTAGCTGTTCGTCTACGCGTTTGGTGTTCCGCTTATCCTGCCGTTATACACGACTTATCTTGTTGCGTATCGTTCACAAATGTTGCGTTTCACCTCATTTTTTGTTTCCGTTGCTGTTAAAATGAATTATTTCTTTGGTTTCGAAAGTTTTCACTACCAGGCCAGTGCATTCATTTCGGTGTAATTGTTTTCATACCTTGCATTCATGCGGCTTTCAGTGTTTTAGTTGGTTTTCAGCTGTTAATGAATTAGTACTGTGTGGAGGGTTTTGAAATTGTGCACATGAAGATGTTTGGCTGGCAGAAGCAGTTGTTTCCAGTCCATTAGTTGGTTGCCGTTACTATTGTTGGCTCAGTTACTTGCATAACATGTAGAAATCTGAAAAAAGAGTGCCATTTTCGTTCATGTTTGCAGCATACAACAATCTGCGAGTGAATCTGTTGAAGAGAGCACCATCAGAGTTGGTATTAGCAAGGTTTTCGAAGAACAAATTAAACCCAGAGAATTTAGAACCTGGGTTGAAGTTGAAAAAGCTTTGAAGCTTTCTGAGAATGTGAATATACCATCAGTGTGTCTGCTATCATTTAAAAAAATATATTGTGAGAGAATCTAAGCCAAATAAGGTTGAGCCGCATGAAAAGTATGAATCTGTTGTGCTTGTGTATATTTTGGGGGAACTAAAAGAACCTGGAATCTTCAAGGGTAAGTGTTACTTATGCTTATTATTGCTTGATGTGCTAGATCGCAATAAATGAACTAGGACTACCCGCAATAGAGCCAGTGTTAACATCCATTCGATGGGTTGCAAAACGGTTTTCAAAGCGGATAAAATACGGTGATCTGGTGAGTGTACAAACAATACCAGTTGAAGGTAAGACATTAATTAGGAAGAATAACGTTTCGGGTTGTAGTCTACGATTGGTGGTTTCCTCGAAGTTGTGATTCTTCCGTGACTATAGACACAGATGTTCACGATCTTAAAAAAAACTAAATAAATTATCCTTGAACCAGTAGTCTTCTTTTCTTCGGCGAAACATCCGTTAATACGACTATACTATTAGGTAGCGAAGTAAGATGTTATGTGACTGAGAATCGTGGTTGTTTTGTTTCTGACTAATTTCGCGCATCTGACTTATAACCGCATGGATATAGCGTTTTCCTCATGGTACATTATGATATCTAGAAATCATAAGCACGCTGCCATCGGTAAATTTATTTTTACTTTTTAAATGGCTGCAAATAGTGAGTCGTTTGCGGTGATAGGATGAATACCTCTAAACGTTTCTGTGGAGACTAGGGTATATTTAATTTTTTCGAGTAAGGGACGATCTTTTTACCAAGAAAGTTCTCGGAATTTTCGTTATTCAAAGATAACGCTAAGTTGCCCACTAAGGTGGTAACTGTAGGAGATAACCTTCAGCGGAAACTATATTAATGTAGTTTTAGGTAATGCGTCATAGAAGTAAGCATCGTAGGTTAATTGTGTCTAAATGTATTAAACGTTGTATAACTGATCAAACCATAGTTCTTACGTGCGAGTTAGTTTTATAAATAAGGAATGTACCGTACAAGCGTCTACCATGATTTGCATACCTAGCTCATAAACATTATGCCTGCATGTGGCACACATTTAGGGCCAACACGCTGCGATGAATCAGTCCGAGATACTTAAGTCAGACTTCATTTCCATATCACTATTATCAATTTTGCAACGGTCATAGGAATTAACACCTCCAACTAACTTTCGTTTACATCGGAAACTGAAAATAACAGTCTGACATTTCGAAGGATTTAGTTTAAGAGCATTTTCCCACTCCTAATAGAGAGCTGTTCATCTTAGTACAGTGTAGCTGGCAGTTAACAGACATTGAAGTAGTTAGATCGTCCGCGTGTTTGAAAAAGTTCTTTTCGTATGCATTCGTACAATGAGTTCATCAAACAAAAATACAATTGGTAATGGACGACTTCCCCATGACCTACAGTGTACTGCTTTCTCCCTGATAAATAAGAATGAAGCCATCTAAAAATCCAATACTCAGTTTGAGTTTCAGCAAGCTTATCTAACAGAATATCTCTAGGTACTGAGTCGAAAGCAGATGTGTATTCTAGGAAGGTGCAGCGAATTTAGCCCCATTGTCTATACTGGAGAAAATGTTGTGAAGCAAGACTGCAGCTGCATCTAAAGTACGTCTACTGTGTTTATAGGAGAACTGTTTGGGATCGTTAAAGGCTCTGAGTGAGGGTTAAAGATTAAGTAAGAGTAACTTTCCCTTAGTTCGTATATACCTCATTTGATTTGAAACAAAGGAAGCAGGTCTTATTAACGCTTGTAACACTAGAAAGTTTGGCATTTATGGGAGAATTTATGAAAGACTTGTTTAGTTTACACACACCAAATGAATAGGGAATACTGGAGGTAATTAGATGCATACAGGCGTAGGTTATTTAACATCTATAAAGTAGACATGCAAATACCGCAGTTTTTGATCACAAAAATGATGGATACTAGATAACATCCTATGATTCAACGGCATATTAAAATAAATAAAAAATGTTTCTTAGCTGATCGTCAAGTGAACAGTCTATTTGATGATGTCACTGCATATTAACGGATTAGTGAAGTAGATATCAAGCCTAAGTTACTACATTTACTTGTACTACATACTTGGCGTTTAACAGTAAACAGACTTTCAACTGGTTAGATAAGGCGACTTTAGAGTATCCAACAGTACAGAATTATTATTCAACTTGCTAAATCCCACTTAGCTTTTACAATGTGCTATTGTGTAGAAACAGACACGAAATCCTACTAATGACTAAGGTAACATTCTCATAATACTACAGTGAATTTCCATCCCACTAACTAAGCTTAGCGTTTATTATTCCTAATTCACTTATTACAAAAGCACATAGTATAGCGAGGAATTGAAGAAGTCTACAGGAAGAAGTAATCAAGAGTATATTAAACATTTGATTAATTTACAAAAGAAAATTCTGATGAAGGGTAATAAAGTTAGTTTGACCGAATGATGTTTCCGCTGATTTCATATTCGACAACCTCCGTATACCTGGAAAAAATAAAGTACATGTTAGAACTAGCATAACATGAAGTTAACAAGAGATAATTCTACATATTAGCATACAATATGAATACAATCATTCTGTTAAAACTAAGTATTATCTCAGGGAGATAAATGTATTTGTAGTCTACAGCTGATATTTATGTTGACGCCGTATACATAAATATACATCATATGTTTTCCTGCATTTGAGGACTATATGCAAATTTCAAGGCAATCTCCGAAACATTCATACTATTGAGGCGTCATTCTCTCATCAAGCTTACTTGCAGATCAACTTCACACTAAACACTTTTACATGAAATGAAGTATTGCAAGTGTTTAACTTAGAAGTTAATCCACAATCTCAGTAATGTCTAGTCCACAAGGTTTTGTGAATCCTACAGAAATCACATTTTCACATTTAGGAGACTATAGGCATCGAATATAAGCTGAACATGCCTCAACTCTAGACAGCTATGCCCAGTGCTAACAACATAGTGAAACACTTCAACTATTGTAAAGTACACAGACCTGTTGTGTTGATGAGGATAATAATGTCATATAAGGCAAACTAGAAAATTCAATCGTCATAGAGCACCTGTACTGCTTTGTCTAAATGGAAATCTCAGGAGAAATTCATCTCCACTATTGGTGATCAAAAATATTGTAGCATTAAGTATACAGTCAGTGGAAATTGTAAAAGAGAATAAATTCATATTAATGATAATAAAGCTGAATAGATTCAGTTCTAGTAACCACCTTCGTTTGTTATCCTATCAGTCAGCTTAGTACACAATGGCACAATATTATTATAGTTGAGATATTTTTGTACATTTAATTAACATAACCCATAGCACACTGCACCAACCAGTGCCAATATATATGAAATCCATTTAGAGATAACCTTTCAACTTACCATAATTCCTGTCCAACCACAGATAAAGTGAAAAGCACATCTAAATGACAACTTAGGTTCCCACCAACGATTCTGATAACATTTGCAGGTGATTTCCAAGTATTGAGAGAATTATTTTGTCAAAAAAGACTGTTCTTCACACGAAAATAGGCTGTACTGATATCCAGAGACATGAAGTCTTCATTGAATGATACTATGCCGAAAGATGCAGCTTCTACATGGAGTAAATGAGTGGTGTAAATGGCATTACCCTCTAACTATCCTATCTCCCTCATTACACCGACATTTTGATACATTCCATCTGAAACACTAATCATTGCAACCAATATGCTAAAAGTGTGTCGCAGTCAGATCACATGAGGCGGACACCAACATAACCAGCCAAAAAGTGGGAATTTCCCTCAATCTAGATAACATATAATACAATTTTATTAAAAATTATTGGCAAAAAAAATTCCAAACGTAACTTCTAGAGTACGTGACGAATAAGTCCAGCCTAATTTTCGCGGGAGTCATCAATCCATCAGTCATCGTCTCATCGGTCGCTGTTCAGAAAGAAGATTAAAAAACCGTCAGAAGTAATATTGTGATTTATTATTGTAATATTTGTTCACAGACCTTAGTTATACATTATTTATATGTTGGTGTAACAATAAAGAATCCTCGAGTCAACAACTGGTGTTTTGGTTATTTCTTCCGTTATTACTAAGCGTTTCTGAGAAACTTCAAGGAACAGCGTGAGCCCGAGCGTGGCAAGAGCTGGGCATTAACGGTTTACGAGACGTGGCTGTCAATGACCTTATCTAGTTTTCTCACCCGCGATCAAATTTCTTTCCCGTTATAAAACTACGATAGGACTGCTGAAAAATGGAATAAATATATCACTGATCTCAACATAATGCATCAATAAACCTTAAGCCAAGGGTGCTTTCCACAACAAAGTTATATAGGAGAATTGACTTCAAGCTTTATTTTTCCCAGATATCTGTATTACATTCACCTGATGTTTGGGTTTTTTGTCAATGCGAAGACAATATTTCTATATCTCTTTATGTGCTACACAAACAGACTTTATAGCAGACTGTTCTGACTGACTCTAATGTCAGAAAGAACAACCAAACTGTAAATTCATCATGCATGAAATTATGTGTAATTTATATAATAACTTATCCATGCCTGTACAACTGGTATGTTCCTGCATGAACAGGAAGAAATATATTATGTCGTATGATATGGCACACCACACATATATACAAACAGCACAAATAACCTCGCCGATCGTGTCTCGATGTAATTCCTTTGAAGAATCGCAGGACTTACACCAGTACGCCTGCAACCCTTCTCAGGTTGACGATTGTGAGTTGAAGAATGTCCGGACACAAACAAGATTAACCAACAATTACATTAATTGGAACCCGCTCAATTACTTAACACAAACATATTGACAATCGATACATCAAATGTTGTGGACTCTGCCTTGACGAAGGACACTTGAAGAACTGTAGGACTTACAGCAGTACGCCTACATTCCTTATCAGGTTGATGATACAAGTGGAAGACGTCCGGACACAAAGAGAATTACCAACAGATAGATGAGAGATGATACTAATTCAGTATATACAACATGAACATATGTACGAAATAACATTCTAAGCACGTTGGGCTGCGCTTCGACGTACTACCCCTGGGGAATTGTAGGACTTACAGCAGTACGCCTACAGTCCTTCTCAGGTTGGCGCCTTAGTTTGGAAAATCTTCAAGTGTTTCATCCTCTTACTCTCGACTCTCAGCACATTCCAGTAGATACAGTTTCCTAATATCTCGCACCAACATACCAAAACTTGTTCTCACCTCAACCGTCCTCACCAACCCCTCACCACTACCGAGTAACCTTTCTACCACTCCTAAGGGCCATCTACCCGTGGCACATTTATCTGCTACTAAGACTATATCAGCAGCCTTTAAGTTTCTACACAACTTTTCCGCTTGTCTCTGGTTTGCAGTGTTAGAACA